TGGCAGAAATAAAGCACTAAAAGGCTGATAGAACAAATATTTTGGCAACAACCAGGAATGAGAAGTTGGTTGTATATATTTTATGGATACAGGGCACTCTATTTATTGGCAACGGTTGTCTCTGTGGCCAACCTTATTTCTAAAGTAATTCCCTTTCCAGTGCACATGGCAAAGTGATCACACTGATGGCCCCAGTTTGGGGTTTTGTGTTGTCATTGTTGTTTTCCAGGCTCTCCCCCCACCCCCCGTTGTGTCACATCGCAGCCCCCGTCCATACACAGGCAGCCTATTAACCCATCTCTGGCGTTTGGACTTGGCCACGTGACTGACTTTGGCTTGTGGGATGTTTGTGGTCAAGATGTAAGTAGAAGTTTTTTTAAGTGCTGGTGTTTTTTTTACCAGGAAAACATTACCAGGAAAATGTGCCAGGCTGGCCTGCTAGAGGGATCTAGAGATGCACAGAGGAGAACCAAGTCGTCCAAGCCAAGGCCATCCTAGACCGCCCAGCTCCTGTCAGCTGACAATAGATACATAAGCAAAGCCACCCACATCTACAGAACTACTCAGCTGACCCACCCGCCTGTCAGCAAAAATGAATATTTACTTCTGTAAGCCAGTGAAGTTTTATGATTGTTTGTTACACAGCAGTAACTAACTGATAGAGTACATTTGCCTAAAATGTGGGTACATGGCGACTCAGGACTTCTCCAACTGCAATGATGAACAAATTCCTATAATTCTAGCTCCATGGACATTATAGTTAGCAGCCTGGGAAGGCAGTTTGAAAACTTGGTTCCAGGCAAGCTTCCCCTTAATTGTTCCTTAAATGCCACCTGCTCATCCCTGCTCTGCTTTTGTACATTTTACTTCTCCCTACTGGAATGTCCTTCCCTCCCTCCCTGCCTATCTGAATCACGGCACATCTCCAAGGATCTACCTAAAACCAACTTCACTGAATGATCTTCTGTGGCCACCTCCGACTGTCTAGTCTATTAATTCTTAGGGCGTGTCTTACCTGAGCCATGAAGTGGATACCTGACCTATGTTGCCTCATATGGTGACTGTTTCCCGTCTATACTTGTTGATTAAATTAGATTCCAAGTTCCTAAATTGCAGAGTCTCTCTCATACTTGTTTTATCCCCCAAGGCTTGCATGGTACCTTGAAAAGATACCTAGACGCTCAGGGTCTTTCATTTAAGACTTTAATATCTGTAGGTTGACTGGCCTGAGGGGGCTCACTGTTAGGTATCATTACGAATGATTAAAACCAGAGAAATGGATGGATAGTTGGATGGATGGAGGAATGAATGAATGAATGAATGAAGTTAAAGGACTCCATACCGAACTTTGTAGAATAATACCCTACTCAACTGTAGTTCCCAATAGGGAAATTAATTTTGCCTTAAAATGACACTTTTCTCTGAAGATGTTGCTGGCCTCCCATTCTCCCCAAATTAGACATTCATGCCCTCTCCTTCCTTCCAATGTGCATATCTCTTTACTTGCATTTCTCCAGGGGGCCTCCCCTAATTTCCCTTGCATGGTAATCATGGTCTTCCTTCTTTGGGGCTCACCTCTACCACACCCCATCATCACAAACAGAAGCTCCTTAAGAGCAAAGCTAGACTTTGATTAGGTATGAACCTCCAACCCCTGGTAGAATGCTAGGGCATACTCACTAAGTCTTTAACTATTTTATCTATCCCTTCTCTGTGTTTTTTTATTTTATTTTATTTATTTTTTTGATAAGTAATTTATTATATATGAAAAATAGAATTGCAGAAACTCGTCTTTTAAAGAACTGATAATATTTTCCCCTCAATCAATTACAGTGATCGCCAATGAATACTTTTTATCTCTGGAAGAGAGTTGTTGATGAAAATTAACAGCACAAAAGAGCAGTTTGTGATTTTGAATAAGTCAGGGGCTTACAAAAGGCTTTTTGTTATTACTTAGGGTGCATTATTTAAAGTAGAATCTTCAACAAAGTTCCATTAAATCTATCTGAAAGTAATTTTTAAAAAGGTATCAATAAATCCTAGCAAGCAGAGGATTTCGGACCATATTCACGTTCTTTGACAAAAGCAAAAAAAAATTATGAGTCTTAGCGTATAAAACGAAAACACTAACCTTCCATGATATATGTGAACGTTCCCTTTCTTTGAAGGTGCAATATTATTAGTCGGAAGTAAATGAGGAATTTGTCACCTCCTCCATCAAATCGTGTAAAATATTTAACTAAGATATGGCTGTGTCTTGTTTACAGAAGACTTTGAAGACATCAGTATTTCCAATTGTTCTTTCTGTCATAGTAAGATATATAGAAATTGAGAATGATTCGCAAGGGAAGATGGAAGCAGAGAGCATTCACATTCCACAAGGAACTATGCGGTCAGGTAGGCATATTTTCAAAAAGTGTTTGACTGAAAGGAACTTAAAGAATTCCATGGTCTCCGTTCCAGCAACACTGCGGCTGAGGTTCTCTGTTGCGCCCGGCGCTCGCTTCTCTGACCTCCTTTAGCACTAGAGTGTTTCTTGCCTAAATCCCGGGCTTTCTCACCTCACCGCCTCTTCCCTCTCATCTGTGCCTTTCTCCGAAATCTAACCGCCCCAGCAATTTCTGGGTAACCGAGCTTTCCCAATCTGCCCAGGAAGGTGATTTTTTTTTAATTTATTTTTCTTACATAGACATGTGTATCTTAGGTTTCCACTTTTGCCTTCACAGAATTAAAAGGCTAAATTTAATGACAATAATAATATTTAACATAAGGACTGAGAACAAAAACCTCATAAAGAACGGAAGAAGATAAATACATTCAGAAAAGAAATCAGACGATTGCTGCAATGAATTATTAAGCAATAATAGTAATAATGCAAAGAAAGTAACATTCACATTGTCAGATAGAAGTATGTCTATTACAGAATACTTTGATCAGTTAACTTCTTCTTAGTTTGTTTTTTCCAAAGTCTCAAAAAAATAGACAACTAATATTTATAAATAAAAGATAATTTCAAAAAAAAAGATCATACCAAATCTTATAGACAATAGAAAAAGAAATACTTCAAAATCATTCTTGTCTTTTTTCATCTTGTCTTTTTTTAGACTTTGGTAAAAACATAACAAGAAAAAAAATTTGTTTGCTATTTGTATTTTGTCTTGTGTACTCTGTACCAAACAAGTAGTAAATGATTATGTATTAAAAAAGAAAAGAAAAGAAAATAGTGACTAATTCTCATATAAATTGTATTTAAATTTGACCAAAGTACATTACATAAACATTAATTTTTAATTTAACATGTTAATATGTTGTTTATCATATTGCATCCTCATTTATATGTGAAATATGTTTGTAATTTCACTTTTACAATAATATATTTTCTCCAGTTTTAATTACCAGGTCTATCCAGATTTATTTTATTTATTTGGAGATGGAGTCTCACTCTCTTGCCCCAGGTAGAGTACCATGGCATCATCATAGCTCACAGGAACCTCAAACTCTTGGACTCAAGCAGTCCTCTTACCTCAGACTCCCAAGTATCTGGGACAATGAGTGCCTACCACAGCTTCTGGCTAGTTTTTCTATTTTTAGTAGCGATGGGGTCTCACTCTTGCTCAAGCTGATCTCAAAGTCTTCAGCTCAGGCAATCCACCCTCCTCAGCTTCCCAGAGTGATAGGATTATACTGTGCCTGGCCCTCTGTGTTTTTTAAATGCCTTAGGTCAGGTCCTCATCATGGCTCATGAACACAACTACAAAATCCTGTAACTGGCCTACTTGCTTCTAGCCTTTTCTCCTTCCTTAACCTTTCAATCTGTAACACCTTATTAGTGAAACACAAGTATGGGATTCAATTTAAAAGGAAACTGTAATCAGGCTATACTCCTGCTGAAATCTTCCCTATTAGCTCTACTATTCTTCAGGGTAAAAGCCAAGCTCTTAGGCTTCGCATGCAAAGCCCACACAGATCCACTCCAGCCTACCTGGATAGACTGCTCTCCTTCCACTCCAGCCTCAAACTTTATTCCAACAGGAGGTACAGCCTCTGTACCCTCACTGTCCATGCCAGACTGTTTCTCCCCAACTGTTCCTCGGCCTCCTTCCTCCCCAAGTGACTTGGTGACTCACTTGGCCCAACCTGACCCGTGCAGACTTTCCTTCCTGCCCAGCGGCTTCCTCTAGCACTTTTCTGGGACTCACTGATGGTGGCCACTGCACGGTGAATGTCTGATTGAGTGGAAGCTTCCTGAGAACTCTAGGACACAAATAGTATTGAATTGGCCTGGGTTCAGCGCCAGCTATTGTATTTGGGCACTTCTCTGCTGGCATCCTTGGTGCCCAGCCCCACACTGGGCAGGTGAAGATTCACATGTCTCATGATGGTGACAATGATAGCTGCTATTCACTGAGCACTTCCTACGTACCAGGTACTGTTCTAAGGGCATTAAATGAATTAGCTCTTTAGCTCGCACAGCAACCATATGGAACACACACACTATTAGTAACCCTATTTTAGAGATGAAGGTTAGAAAGGTTGATTATCTTTTCTAAGACTTCTAAAACTAGACTGTGTGCAAACCCAGGCAGCCTGACTCCAGAGCCTGTCATCTTCACCACCATCTCATGTCACCCCGGGTTCATGTTTTCTGGGGACCCTTCTCTCAGTTCTCAGTCATTTCCTCTTTCCAGATGGAAGATGAGGTAAGGGCCGAGAAGAGAACATTTCTAGTTCCTTTTTTATTTGTTCGGTTTACTTAAACTCCCTCATCAGTACTAAATGACACACCCTGAGCCGCGAAGGACGAGGCCCATCTTTTCTCATTTTTATCTTTATACGTTTCCTAAACTAAATTGAAGATAACTTGTCTACACCCAAATTTGCGTGATTAGCACAGAATTGCGTGGGGTGACCAGTTTTGTTTTTTTCAAGCTATCTGTTTCTCGGTGGCTGCAAACCACACGATTGCTTCCTCTCTACCTTTGCAGTGAGAACACAGCATTTTGTCACTCAGCTTCTGCAAACATCAGTGACTCTGCTGGGACAGGAAAGGTCTGTGCTGGCCCAAATGGCAGGCGTCTCCTATGTGGCATCTTTCTTTCTGTTTCTGAGTAAGTTTCACAGTCTGAATGTTTCTATTGTTACAGGAGTTAGTTGACAGGAGCCTGCTGGGTGATGGAACAGGACAATTAGGTCTCTATGGGAACAGCTACACTATGTATTTCTGATGTTGGCAATCATTTTTAACTTACTGATGACAATTCCTGGCTTACCCAGACATCCTTGACTTCTAGGAGGTGCAATGCTTGGTTGGGTTCCTTGTATGTGAATCTGTTGGCTTTTACATTTGTCTGATCTGCTACTTTTGCTTGGCCTTGGCTTGACCTGGCTTTCCTGGGCTGACCATCCCAAGAGAGAGTAAAAGACTTTGCTCCCCAGACTGAGAGGAGACCTTAAGGTTTGCCCGATGTTCGAGTCTGACTATATAAATGGGCCTTGGGGAGGCGGCTAGATGGAAGGAAAGGTTATAAGAGCACTTAGTAGTTTTAGCAGACTAACTGAAAGAAGGTTCTGAGTTTCACCTGTGAGCTGAAGTGGGAATTGGCTGCTGAGAGACTGAGAAGGGAGCAGAAAGATTCATTTGGCTCTGCTGAGGGCCGTCTGGAGGGCCTTCCCTGGCCCAGGGGCGTTTATCTATGTTAGAGCAGCGGAGAGGAAGGAAAGACTAGGAGGTAGAAGGGAGAATCAGATGAATTACTGGGCAGGGAATGAAATAGCTTCAGACTAGATAGAGAAGGAAGCAGATTTTTTTGTGTGTGTGTGCTACAGATTCGTTTAGAATCTGGTACACCCCATCTCAGAACAATTTTTTAAGTGCATAAAAACAAAATGCACAGGGTTATAGAGAAAATCAGTCATGTTGAAATAGTTACTAAAATATTTTTAATAAATTGTGATGAAGTAATTTATTTGCTTCTTTATGCATTATGTAACAGGATCTAGGTATAGGCCTATAAAACAGCTAACTTCAAAGTACTGAAGAATATGAGTAATTATCTCAACAGTTCTGAAACATTTGTACTATGATGTAAAAACATCTGTGGTTTGTTGTCTACATTTATGAATGAAGAAAATACTAAATTTCCATAGAGTTTGTTGAAAGTAAAGACGTAAGATCTTTTTTTCACCTTAGTTTATGGACTCTTTCATGGTGTATGTGCACCCAGGTTAAGAACTCTTTAGGCCATGTGTAGCAGCTCACACCTATAATCCTAGCTCTCTGGGAGGCTTGAGACCTCAAGTATGGAAAACCAGACTAAGCAACATACCAAGACTTCTCCTCTACCAAAAAAAAAAAAAAAATTATCCAGGCATGGTAGCAAGTACCTATAGTCTAAGCTGCTTGGAAGGCTGAGTCAGGAGGATTGCTTTAACCCAGGATTTTGAGGCTACAGTGAGCTATGATAATACCACTGCACTCCAGCCTGTACAACAGAGTAAGACTCTGTCTAAAAAACAAGAAAACAAAGCTCAGCACCTGTAGCTCAAGCAGCTAAGGCACCAGCCACATACACCAGAGGTGGCAGGTTCGAATCCAGCCCACCTGCCAAACAACAATGACAACTACAACCAAAAAATAGCCAGGCGTTGTGGCAGGTGCCTGTAGTCCCAGCTATTTGGGAGGCTGAGGCAAGAGAATAGCTTAAGCCCAGAAGTTGGAGGTTGCTATGAGCTATGATGCCACAGCACTCTACCCAGGGCGACAGCTTGAGACTCTGTCTCAAAAATAAATAAATAAATAAATAAAACAAAAAATCTCTTGCTTTAGACAGAATGGATAGTGTTAGTGCAGGGCTGGTATGATGGGGGAACTAAACCAAGCTGTAATTGGTGTGATCAGAGCTGAGGACACAAGAGGCTGCTTAAAAAATGCTGATTGGTTTGAACTGAGCTCATGTCTCAAGAGATGTATAAAAATATGAGGTAAGGATCTGATCTGGGGCCTGACGGGGAGAGAGGGAGTCTGCAGTAGAGGTCCCAGGACCGCTTGCTGGGTGATGGACACCTGCCAGACTAGCTGGGTAGGTGCTGATAGACAGGCACACGCTGGGATCCCTTGGGAGCTGGTGTGTTTCTCCTTGTTCTGTGAAGTTGTCTGAATGTGATTCTCAAGTGTATGTGCTGTGTGTATTTGGACTGTATGTTTGCCTTGTGTATGGGGAAACTAGGTTTACATTGTGCAATAATTCAGAGAACTGCAAATTCTCTCTCTCTCTCTTTTTTTTTTTTAAGTGGGCTGGAAGGCCTGGGGAAGGAAAGTAACCAAAGTTTAAAAGGGGAAGCTGAAAGCTTTTCCTTAACCCTCTTAACCAATTGCTCAGTCTGAGTGTGGAGGCTCATGCCTGTAATCTAAGCATTTTGAGAGGCCAAGGTGAGAAGATGGCTTGAGGTCAGGCGTTTAAAACCAGCCTGAGCACAGCGAGACCTCATCTCTACAAGAAGTAGAAAAATTATACACCAGGTGCGGTGGTGCGTATCTGCAGTCCCAGACACCACAGGAGACTGAGGGAGAAGGATAGCTTTGAGCTCAAGAGTTTGAGATTGCAGTGAGCTGTGATGATGCCACTGCACTCTAGCCTCAGCAATAGGATGAGAACCTAATTTAAAAAGAAAAAAGCTACTTCAACTGGTTATATATTTATTTCTTCTAAATTCTAACTCATCCTAAGTGCTAATTTTGTATAGAATCACAGTTTTTATATGAAGAATACATCAGAAAATAACTTTAAAAAGTTTCGGAAGCCTGCTATTTGTCGTTAGAGAAGGGAAATGAAGGAATTTAATTAAGTGATGATTGTTCAGCAAGTGTAGACTTTGACTCAATTTGTTTTTCTATAAATATAAGGATGGAATAATCCTGTTAGAATATGATACTGGGGGGTGAGGTTGATGTCATGGGTGAATGACCTCTTGGACTTAGCACTTAGCTGTGCTTGCAAAGAAGAGCCATTAGCACGTGAGGCTTTGGCTGAGGGATTAGTGTTTGTCTTGTTGTGATCACATTCATCAGGAAAAAAAGAGACTCCACTTTTTGGAATGGATGGGAACTATCTCAGCCTCCAATCACATAGGGTTTTTGAGTCTGTACAGCAAGAGAAACTGCTTATTAGGATATGTTGGCTGTTTTCTAGGTAGCTTTTCTATAAAGTAGAATTATTTGAAATTGCTGGGCTTTTGGTATCAAAAATGGTCAAATAGGGGCCATTTTATGTGGCTCAACTTAATAGTTTCCATTGAAATAATACCACAATGGTAAATTTGACAATTCTAATGATAGTTTGAAAAAAGCCAATGCCATCGAGGAATTTTTATGTTTTGAAAGCATGATTCCAGGGCCAGTGTGCCAAGCTGTGTCTGCATCTGTTGCCAAGAATTTGAGCCACCGTTCAAAGGTCCCTAATCCTCTGAATTAAAAGAGAAAGCATTGGTGCTGGGTGCAGTGGCTCACACCGCTAATCTTAACACTCTGACAGGCCAGGGCGGGTGGATTGCCTGAGCTCAGGAGTTCAAGACCAGCCTGAGCAAGACCCAGACCCTGTTGCTACTAAAGATAGAAAAAAAAAAAAAAAAAAAACCGGGAGTGAGAGCAGGCGCTTATGGTCTCAGCTGCATGGGAGGCTGAGGCAAGAGGATCGCTTGAGACCAAGAGTTTGAGGTTGGTGTGAGCTGTGACCCCAAGGCATGTCTCTCAAGGGTGAGAAAGTGAGACCCTGTCTCAATAAACAAACAAATAAAAAAAAGAAAGCAAGGGCACAGTTCTCATCGGCATTTTATTCTTTAGAGAGGGGTGTGCTCTCAACAACCCACATAGAACATATTTATAACAAAATGCTTGAGTATATGATCCCAAGGCACAGCCATTTGAGCTAATCTTTATCAAAGATTAAAAATACTTTTGAAACCTCTTAACCTTTTGTAAAGCCAAGGTGGGAAGACTGCTTGAGGCCAGGAGTTCAAGACCAACCTGAGCAAGAGAGAGACCTGTTTTCTAGGAAAAATAAAAAAGAGAGAGAGAGAGAGAGAGAGAGAAAAATGAAAAATTAGCCAGGCATGGTGACATGCACCGATAGTCCCAACTACTGGGGAGGCTGAGGCAGGAGGATAGCTTGAGCCTAGGAGTTGGAGGTTATAGTGACATGTGAGCTGTGATGACACCATGACGCCACCACAGTCTAGCCTGGGAGACAGAGGGAGACCCTGTCAATAAATAAGTAAATAACAGACAAACAAAAGAAATAAGATACTGTCTACCTTAGGGGCATCTGCCACTGTGTAGTGTGCCCCATGAGGGCATAAATGCTTCCCTATGCCCTCACCTTCCTGACTTTCACAATAACAACTTCCTAGCATGTTTTAAAATGATTTTGCCAGTCATGTATATGCATCGCTAAACAATATGGTGTGGTTCTGCCTGGTTATAAATTTATATATATCTGTATCTAGTCAAAAGGATTGAAAAGCATTTGACATCTTTTATTGGACACAGTCATACATGTTGCTGTCGATACTTATAACTTGTTAATTTTATTTCTATATAACATCCCATGTGATGAATGTACCACAGTTTATCCATTCTACTGTTGACGGACATACGGGTTGCCTCTTATCTGTGGCTTTAATAAGTAGTGTAGCTATGAGTATTCTTTAACACACAGCCTGGTACACGCATTTCTCTGAGATGGCATCACTGAAAAGTCTTCTGAACTGCCTCTGGAGTACAACTTTTTTATAAGTAATAAATTGGTTTAAGATGGTCTAACTTCTCTTCCTAAATACTTATTACAAAAAGAGTATGATATAAATGTTTCACATTAATTAGGATCATGAATGAATTTATGTATTTTAAATGTTACTAGAGGCCGAGTGTGGTGGCTCATGCCTGTAATCCTAGCACTCTGGGAGGCCAAGGAGAGGGGGACTGTTTGAGCTCAGGAGTTCGAGATGAGCCTGAGTAAGAGCAAGACCCAATCTCTACAAAAAATAGAAAAAAGTAGCCAGTCATTGTGGCAGGTACTTACAGTCCAGTCCCAGCTACTTTAAGGTGACCAGACGTCCTGCTTTTGGTGGGACAGTCCTGATTTTTAACAATTTGTCCTGCATCCTGTGGCATTTTTAAAAAGCCCCGATTTTTGGAAAGAATGCACAACAAGCTAGGGAACATGGGAGAACAGGAAGGGAATATACAGTTTTTGGCTGCCATGTGGCTATTTCACCAGGATATGCGTTTTATATTATTTTTGTTAATTTTATAATGTTAAACTTTAATAATAACAAATAATTGTTGAGAACTGATTATTGAGAACTGCTTATCAAAGTTTGCATTGTTGTCAGGCCCCACCCCCAGGCCCCACCCCCCCTCAGTGGTGTCCTGTTTACCAATGTTAAAATCTGGTCACCTTAAGCTACTTGTGAGGCTGAGGCAGGAGGATCACTTGAGTCCAAGAGTTTGAGGTTCTGTGAACAATGACTATGTCACCGCTCTCTACCTGGGGTGACTGAGTGAGACTCTGCCTCACAAAAATGAATACATAAAAGAAAATAAGTATGTAATTTATTAGTAGAAATGTGTGTGGCTGGCTGTTGCTTTGTTTGTGTCCCTGGTTTGGATTGGGCATACACCTGCAATTTTTAGTTGCTCCTTCAGGTGACCACTTACCCTTTCTGCCATTTTTTTTTGTAGATCCCCTTAAAATTGTTTTCCTTTCACGCTAAATCCCCTTGCCCAGCCTTATCTCAGTCTATCTCTGCCATGTCATTTTGTCTTTCCCCACATTGTTTTCCACTCTAGTCTCCTTTATCTTTTGTCCTCGTGGAGTCACTAAATTCACTGATGCTCTTGTCTTCCCCCATCTTCTTATGAACTCAGTTCTGTGAACTTGGTGACACCAGCAATCGCTCCCTGATGGGCCCTTCTGACATTGGTCGACTCTGCCTTCCCTTCTGCCGGGCCCTGGACCCCAAGTGGAAGACCTGGCCCTACCCCGTGGCATGTCTGTCATTTGTCTTTTTCTGTGACACAGAATGAACTAGCCTGCAATTACCACTCATAATAAGGAAACACACACTTTTTGATTTCAAAAAAATGCTTGATTTAAAAAACTTGTCAAATAAAAGGTTACCATTTAATCATGTTTTCTTTTTTTAGATCTAATATTTGAGATTTATCCCAGTAGAAAACATTCCCTAGTGGTCCCAACTGAAAACTTTTGGTGAGAATAGAAATAAAATAAATTCCGAGCCCAGAACCTACTGGACTTTCTAGCCATCTATTATCAAGCTTTTCAGAAGTGCTGTAGTGACTCTGTAAAAAATAACAAAACATTAAAAAAAAAACCTCCACAATTTAGAAAGGAAGTATCACAGCCTCCTTCTGATGCTAATTTTAGATAGTTTTGCATCATATCTGCCCAAAACCCAACAAATGAGTCCAACCAAACAGCAAGAAAAATCATGGCACTAAGGGCAAAGTTGTAGACTGTGCTGTTCCAGCAACCATTTGTGTGGGGACTGCCCAGTGGCAGGTTGGAATTGGAGGTTTGACGAAAGCTATGTTGAATCATCATACATTAAATTTGCTTTAAAATAAGGCCACTTAGATAAGCAGATGCTTTATAAAAGCAGTCAGGCTACATCGATGCAGCTAAGCTTTTTAAAAAAGAGACTCGAGATTACTATGGAAGTTAAAGTTACAAAAGAACAATTAACTCCTCAAGCCATTCCTGGGCTGCTCAGCCCAAAGTTGAACATCTGAGTTGATTATAGGTAATAACCTGTGATCTCATTTACCAGAATTGCAATACAGGGAACTACATAATGTGGTGTGTTGGGAACCGGCGCTGATCTATTTTTATCCCCCTTACTTTCTCCTACTTGCAAGCTAAGCTCAGCGCTGGCCAGAGACAAGTAACAGTTCAGAAAGGACCGCTGTTCAGAGCTGAGGGTTACCCTGTCAGCATTGGCTGCAACGTAACTGGCCACCAGGGACCCTCTGAGCAGCATTTCCAGTGGTCTATTTACCTGCCAGCAGCCCCGACCCGGGAAGTCCAGATCATCAGCACCAAGGATGACACCTTCACCTACGCGTTGTATGCACAGCGGGTGCGAAACAGGGAAATCTACGTGGAGAGGGTCCGGGGCAACTCGGTCCTGTTGCACATCTCAAAGCTTCAAATGAAGGATGCTGGTCAGTATGAGTGCCACACGCCAAACACCGATGAGAAATACTACGGAAACTACAGTGGAAAGACCAGTCTGATTGGTAAGCTGTCTGTGCACTGCCGCTAGCCAGCCCCTGAGAAGCCCGAGTCTTCACCACCACCACACCTTCCTTGCAACGGGATGTGTTTTTGTCTTGTTCTGTTTCCTTTGGGGAAAGAGTCTACCTACCACTCTGGATATTTTGGAGGTTTGTCCCAAGTGTGTATCTCATATTTTTTAAAAACATCAATTCATTTTTCTTGATCACCTTTGCTATAAAGATTTATATCTGTGTAGTTTTCCCCAGGCCTCACTCACAGCTGTCCAGGGCTTGGTAACAGCAACACTATTAGGCAAAGCTGTGACAGCTCTCCCCGGGTTGCCTCTGCTTAGAAGCAGGACAGTGACTAGTGGAGAGAGCTGGTATCAATATCATAGGTGATAACTTAGAAATGATTATTCTCAAGCTATCATTCTCTATCATATTTGCCCATGAGGAAAGGGTCATAGTCCTTGCAATTGTCACTTTGTCCCTTTGCCTGGAATATCCATCACCCTTTTTTCAGCTTAGCAAACTCCTATGTATACTTCAGGGCCCGACTTAGATTACCTCCTCTCCAGGGCAGCACCTGTGGCTCAGTGAGTAGGGTGCCAGTCCCATATACCAAGGGTGGTGGGTTCGAACCCAGCCCCGGCCAAACTGCAACAACAACAAAAAAATAGATTACCTACTTTGTGCAACCCATCTTAACTGCCTCAGACAGTATTCCCACTTTTGTTCCCCCTCAATGCTCTGTTTATATTGCTGTCATTAGTACTGACAGAGTTATGTAGTGACTGACTGTTTATATGCCTCTCTCCTGCCACACCCTGAGGTCTTTGAGAGAGAATATTCCTCTCAGCTTCTAGCTAACAGCTAGCACTGAGCAGGTGCTCGGTAATACTGATATGAATATATTCATTGATAACTAAATCTGGGTGGAGCTTTCACATAGGCTCAGACTAGGCGATTTCATTTGAAGAAGAAAAGAATGTAAGGGTAGGCATTAAGACAGTTAACCAAAACCTTGGTAAGGAAGGCATTTTGACTCTAAATGATAAATTATAATGAATTATTCAAGAACATTATACAGGCACCCTTTAAAGCTCAGATAGGTGAAATGATGTGCCCAAGTTCATGTAGTCAGATTCAGATGATTGAGGATTAAAATGTAAGTCTTCTGCCTCCCACAGCTTTCTCCCTTTAAATATGTCCTCTGAGCAGCTAAATTGGTTACTGAGGCCTATGTGATGAAGCGAAGCCAGAATCCAGACATCAGAGAGCCATTTGCTTTGCCAAGTTCTACAAACTGTAAATAGATGCCAGTGCTCCTTCTGGCAATAGGGAAAGCGTATGGGTGGGGGGGTCGCGTGTGGCTCGCACTTTACAGGGTGGTTCAGGGCACCATCTTCACCTAGAGACGCCAAGCGTACAGCACTGGGCCAGTCGGTTTAGTGTCATTCCTTTGTTTCCAGTTATTCCAGATACCCTCTCTGCCACCATGAGTTCACAGACTCTCAGTAAGGAGGAAGGTGAGCCATTAGAGCTCACCTGCCAGGCATCCAAAGCCACGGCCCAACACACTCACCTCTCTGTCGCCTGGTACCTGATGCAACATGGAGGAAGAAGCCAACCCACCGAGATTATTTCTCTCTCCAAAGATTTTATGCTGCTCCCTGGGCCCTTGTATGCAGAGAGGTTTACAGCTGGCGATGTGCGACTCAGCAAGCTTGGGGCCATGACCTTCAGGCTGTCCATAGGGAGTCTCCAGCCCTCAGATGAAGGCCAGCTGTTCTGTGAGGCAACAGAATGGATTCAGGATCCAGATGAAACCTGGATGCTCATCACGAAAAAGCAGACCGATCAAACCACATTGAGGGTTCAGCCAGCAGGTAATTATCTTCTCAGGAAATTCATCCATACATTATAATGCACTGGCCGTGGGTATTTGCAGAATATTTTCATTTTTTTTCCTAATCTCTCATTGCCTCTAAAAAATTGGCTAGAAAGTTTGGGTAAATGTTGTTTTTGCCATCTGGGAAGCATAACTAAGAAGAAGGACATTCGGTCTGGGCTGTGTTCATAGGTTTTACATGAGATAAGATCTGTTAAATGGTTAAGTCCGTTCCACAGACCAGCCATGGAAATAGTGTTGGTACCAGTTTTGCCAGGCTCTGTGTTGGCACATTATCTGCATTCCCTAATTTAGACCTGATGATCACCCTGTAAGGAAGAAGTGGACTCCCCATCTTGAAAGTAAGGAGCGTGGGCCTCAGACATGCGAGGCGCCCCACCTAAGCTCACCCGGTGGGGCAGAGGGGGCTGGCGTTCAAAGGTAGGCCTGAGTCTCTCCAAAGCCCACTCACCACAGACACTGAGGCCTCAAAGCAGCTCCAGTTTCCAACCCAAAGCCTTGTGTTCCTCAGTGCTGGGACTTCCTTCCACCTAACTCCTTTTCCAACGTGGAATAGTGTCACTTTTTATGATCCACTGGCTTTTTTGTCAAAGCCAGCAGAGAAACCGTGTCTGTGATTCCTGGGTTCTCTACACAGGCTTTGGTCTAAGAGAAATGAGTCGCTAACCTGTGTGTTACAAACCCATTGCTAAAAGCAATGATCCAATTAAAGTTTTCATCAAATCATTAAAGTTTTCTTCCTTTTTTAAGAGGAGCATTTTCCTATAAAATTGTCCTGTTGACATCAAGTATGTAAGTTACGCTTGGTGAGTCCTGTGGAGCCGTATCCCACGTGCTTTTAGGAAAATTCCACTGGGTATTCTCAGTCGAAAAGGAGAATGAGAAATCACAATTTACAGCAATTCAGTATAAGAGATTTAATTTTATATATACACAATATGTACTACTCAATTCAGCATATAATAGTTTATTTTTTTAATTTAAAAGCATATATAACTGTATACTTCATACTTTGCTTAGTAGAATTGCATTCAGAAAACCATGTGTGGTGTCCTTGCTGAGTGATTTAAGGAATAGTCATGAGCATTTTTCACTCTAGGAAATTTTTTTTGGCTTACCTGCCGCTATACAACTGAACTCCCCCATAAATGCGATCTCGTTTCTCTCCTGTACGAAAGAACAGATGCCACGGTCTCTCTAAATACCTGCCTTGCTTTTGGTTCCCAGTGAGAGATTTTCAAGTCAACATCACAGCTGACAGCTCATTTGCTGAAGGGAAACCCTTAGAACTGTTCTGCCTGGTGGTGGGAAGTGGCCGGAACCCACAGCTTCAGGGTGTTTGGTTCTTCAATGGGAGTGAAATTGCCCACATTGATGCTGACGGAGTCCTGGACCTGAAGGACAACTACAAAGACAGAGCCAGTCAAGGGCAGCTCTGGGTTTCAAAGTTAGGCCCCAAGGCTTTCTCTCTCAAGATCTTTTCTGTGGGCCTGGAGGATGAAGGCACCTACAGATGTGCCGTGGCAGAGGTGGCGAGAACTCAGACGGGCTCCTGGCAAGTGCTGCAGAGAAAGCAGTCTCCAGACAGCCACGTGCAGCTGAGGAAGCCAGCAGGTAGGTGACACTGGGCCCAGGCCTGCACTGGCTTGCTTTCAGAGCCCCTTCTTTGTTGGAAGAGTATGCCTTCATGGACACAGCGGAGGTCTTCCAGCACAGTCAGGTGGCAGCGAGAGCACCTTGGAGGGGAAACAGCCTGCAGGAAAGCCTCCGACCGGCTGGAGACCTGAGTGTTCCTGAGCTCTGGGCCGTGACCACACGCTCCACCTCAGGTCTCTAACCTTCAGCTTCCTCATCTATGAAATTATGTCAGGCAGCTAGAAGGGCCTACGTAGCTTCTTGCTGTTGCTAATTCTTTACTTCTATTTTTTTGTTGTTGTTACTTCTAACTTTTATACTTTGGGTTTCTCTTAAAGCAGAGAACAACTTTATTAGACCGGGCTTCATCTTTCAAGCGCCTTCTGTTAATCCCCTGCTGTGTTAACCTGATAGGGGAAGTAACACTCAGTCATAACTCTGACTCATAGTAAGCAACGAAGAGGTGATTGATGGTGAACAGACTCCACTCTTTGCACTTTGCGGTGACGTGGCGAGATGCCTGTCCACCTGGTTCTGAGTGTGTGTGCACCACCCGGGAAGCCACTCAGGTCACCTTTACTTTATGAACATTGACTAACCTTAAATGGGTTTGAATCAGCAGTACTTTCTGTCTGGAGAGAAAACAGACAAATCCACAGCTAATATAAGGATCCTCTGAGCTGGGAATTCAAAGTCTGTAAAAATTAATTGCCCAAAAGCAAAACCAAATTTTAAATGTTTTAAAATGTTTAAAAACTGAGCTAAAAATAAAGATATCCTTGTCATACTTTCTCGAGGGAGGCATCTCCAAAGATAGATAAGTCTCCCTTTCATGTTCTTCTCATGTTAGACCCCCTTTGAGAGGGATGAAGACACGCAAGCTTTGGCCCGAATGGCAGCCAGGAAGCGTGTTGGCGTTAGTTTTCATACTAAACATTTGGTCTAACTTTCTAGGATTCAGGATAAACAATGTAGGCGGGTTTACATATTTACCCAGAGATCAGTCTCTGCTCTGTGCCTCTCAGCACCCGCTGGAGCACACACGCAACCCCAGCCTGTGTGTGGGAACGCATTTCAGGGAGCTTAGCTTATGATCCCGTAGATGGGGCCCTCTTCCAAAACTAAAAAATTGTTCTTTGCATAGGTTGGAGTCTAAACTGGGCTTACTATTAGAAATAGGAAAAGTACTGGCAAATGTATTGAGGATCAGATTCTGTTTACCATTCTGTTTTGAAAGTCAAACTACTACTTGAAATATAAGCAGCGTTTTATCATTCTATGACTATTTTAAACAGAAGGGGACACCCATTACCACTGTGAATGTGAAAGTCACACTTACTTAGTAAGATTATTACTTTTTTCCAAGAGGTGGTAATGACCACAACGAACAAAGGAAACCTCACTCTAAAAAAAAAAAAAAGATGTTAGTCAAAATTAATCTTAATGGTTATGTTAAAGGGATGAGATTATGAGTAATGATTTCCCCTCTGATTTCTGTACTTCAATTCTGACTCTATTTTTTTTTTTTTTTGAGACAGAGCCTCAAGCTGTCCCCCTGGGTAGAGTGCCGTGGCATTACAGCTCACAGCAACCTCCAACTCCTGGGCTCAAGCGAGTCTCCTGCCTCAGCCTCCCAAGTAGCTGGGACCACAGGCGCCCGCCACAACGCCCGGCTATTTTTTGGTTGCAGCCATCATTGTTGTTTGGCGGGTCCGGGCTGGGGATTCGAACCCGCCACCTTAGGTGTACGTGGCTGGCGCCTTAGCCAGTTGAGCTATAGGCGCCGAGCCCTGACTCTATTTTTAACTTGAAAGAAATTAAATTTGAAAGCAGATTTGCTCATTTTTTCAACTTACTTATTCTGCTTTTGTAACTTATGTGTATGAAGACATGAAACAGTCAAGACTGAACTCCTTTCTCAATAGAGAAGAGCAATTTGCAAATTCATTTAGATCCTATTTAGATGTCTAATATCAATTCTATTTTGTTTTCCTCTTTTGCTTTGAATTGTCCTTCTTTTCACTAGTGTCTTTCATGCTAGTGCTAATAGCTAAGCTCTCCTGAGTGCTTTCCCTGGCTATCCGGGCTAAGCCCTTTGTGAGCGCCATCTGTTCAGACCTCTCAACAGTGCAATAAGGTGAGTGCTGTTGTAATCTTCAGTTTTACAGGAAAGAAAACTGAGGCTCAGAGAGAGGTCAAATTTGTTGCTCAGGGTAACTCTGACTCCAGGAGCTTCGGCCTTAAATGGAGAGTACCAGCCTACCTCGGCTGTGCAGGCTCCTGAGGCAGCTCTGCGTGGCCCACAAAGCAGCCAGGACAAGGCCCTTGCACAATGCATGGGTGAATGAATGAAATGTTTGTTGAAGGAATGGCTTGGATTTCCTGTCTAGGAGCAGATTTATATTTATAGGTTTGCACTATAGTTTGGACATAAGAAGGCTCTCCCTTTACCCACAGCATATATATACACACATGCAGTATATACACAGACATAATATATGTGTCTATAAGCATATATTTCCCCCCAAGTGATTTTATGAACAGAGATATAATTAACACTGGTTTTCCCTGTTGAAAATACATACTAAGCCCATTAGGATTGATTAGGGAGAGATAAGTAGGCAAAAGTGGTTTTGAACTCTGAGGATCTGAATTCCAAAAACAATAAAAATTTAAAGAAACATATCTTCATTACTTGTAGGCTCATGCACCCACCCTACTTAATCTAACAAAATATTACAAGATGTTTGCCCAACTGAACATTCTTCAGGAATGGCTGATTTTTTTGAAGTGCAAATTATAAATTGTTTACATGTAAATAGGTTCTCCTGATAGTCATCTACTGTCTAATTTCCACTATTTAATGTTTAGCAGGTCTTTTGTCTGGGGGTTGTACAGGAGGAAACAGCATTTGTTATTTGGTTTAATAACAAACTAGTGACAACAAATCAGTCAAATCCTAATTAGTGAGATTTCACTGTATTTTGGACAATTTTTCATTTACTTAGAATACTTTTTTCTTCTAAACTCTGCAATCCACAGCAAGAAGTGTGGTTATGTCTACCCAGAACAAGCAGCAAGCTGTGTGGGAAGGAGAGGTGCTCACTCTGGTCTGCAAGGTGGGTGGCACTGAAAGTCCCCTATCTGTGAGCTGGTGGCACATCCCACAGGACCGGACACCCCCAGAGTTTGTGGCTGCCATGGGGCAGGATGGCATTGCACAGCTGGGTGCCTCCCATAGCAGACCCAGTTACCATGGCAACACCAGGCTGGAGAAAGTGGACTGGGCCACCTTCCAACTGGAGATCACCTCCACCACCCTCGCAGACAGTGGCGCGTACGAGTGCCGAGTGTCTGAGAGGACCGGCGACCAGGCCAGGGGTCTGAGCTGGACTCAGAAGATTTCAGTTACTATAAAATCCCTGGGTAAGTGTCAAAGAAATCCTGTCCTAAACTTGCACATAGGTCACCGCATTCTACAGCAGAGTGCAGTGGAATTTGACTGTTGTCACCCCGAATCCCCTGCTTATGGTATGTGTACCTATCCTGGGACACCGAGCACAGGCTCTGGCTCCCGAGTCTGACAATTAGTCTTTAAAGTTTATTCATCCTTATAAAGATCAGCTTTGGAGCGCAACTTGTGAGTTGTTCAAAGTTAAAAACAAAATGCTGTGAATCGGGATGGACTTAGGGAAGAGGGTAGCGGAGCTGTCTGTGTTCCGGCTCTGACAGCTGCCGCCCTGGACTGTGGAGCCTCCTGTCGCATATGCAGAGGGTTCTGATGCTGAAGCCAGGAGTGGGGGGAAAGGAAGGAGGCCAGATGGCCCGGCCTGGGGAGCGTTCCACCCACTCGGCAGCAGCTGTCTGAGCAGTGACTGACAAACACTGCCTATTTGTTGTCCGGCTGAGCCGGTCTTAGAAGAGAGGCAACTTTGCAAAATTGAGGTCAGAATTCAGGACAGACTGTACTCGAATCAACTTCTACCCCCCCAAATATGCGGTACTCCAAATGTACAAAGGCATGATACTAAGTAAAAAGGGGGCACCTAGAAAAACTTCCCAGTACTGTACTTTGATTTGCTAAATGTATTAGAAATTGTGTTTCATTTTCCTGTCTGCAGAGTCCAGTTTACAAGTTAGTCTGATGAGCCGTCAACCGAAAGTGACATTAGCCCAGGCCTTTGACCTGTCCTGTGTGGTAAGGGCCAGCTACTCTGACCTCAAGCTGCCACTCGCTGTGACGTGGCAGTTCCAGCCAGCTGGGGCCCAGGTCTTTCATCAGTTTATTCACATCACCCATAATGGCACTATTGAATGGGGGGATTCCCTACCCCAGTTCCCAAAGAAGACGAAGATTTCACAGTCTTCATTTCGTTCTCAACTCCTCATCCATGATGCCACCCAGGAAGAGACAGGAGTGTATCAGTGTAAAGTGGAAGTTTATGGCAAAGATTCCCTACGTACCAACGTCCCTGCCAGGGCCTCAGCCATCTCTCACCCATTGAAGATAGTCATCAGTTTACCAGGTATGCGTCACTTGAAATTAATCCCTGATTGGTTTTAAACAACAACAACAAAAAATCAAAATCACATTCTTTCTACTTGGGGCAAATTATAAAAATAAAATATAAATACTTCCTCCTTATGTTTGCACTAGGACATGTAAGCTACACAGTGTGTAATTTCCAAGCTAACATTAGGTTCGTAAACCTGGGCTGCCTACACTTGTAGTGAAAACACTGAAATACTTCCACTCTGGCTAATAACTCCGGCTCCGTGCCCCTGCCCCATTTTCCCGTGAGTTCCCCCCACCCAGAAACTAAATGTACCCTGTGGCATAATGGGGGCCCTCTAGGCCCTGGCCCCATTGAAGAGCAAATCAATCTCTTAAGCCAGTCACTACCCAAGCTTTACCGGTTATCGAACATTTGCAACGTCTCTCCTAGGGGTAGGGTAAAGTAAATTCCATGAGAATACATTGATCTACTTATTTTTAGTATGTTAAGATGAGTCTCATAATTTATAATTATAGTCAAATATAATCTAAGGCATCAATTGGCAATGGAGCGTAGAGGTTAAAAATAGGGCCTATGTCGGTAAGTTCTGCTGTGTCACGTATCTCTTAGGACTTGAATTCTCTGAGGACAGAGTGATGCCAGACTTGGGAGGCATCTAGATCGGATGATTATTGAGGATCACTGGACAGCCGTGTGACTTCGGACAAGTCACTTCATCTACCCAAGCCTTAGTTGCCTCATCTGTACGTTGCACCACAGTTTCAACGTGGTGACATATGTAATGTGCCCAGTGCAGTGCCTGACACACCACGCAGGCACTCAAATGTGGTAGGTGTCATTATTTTCTCTGCCACAAAGCAATATTTTGGGTAATGGTGATGAGATTCTTGCCTATTAATTCATACTTTAATTTACTAGTGCTCTCTGTGGTATTTGCAACTCCTGCCCCAATTCTTTCTCCTTGAAATGTCTTTTTTCCTTGGCTCTATGACACAAAATTTCCTTGGTTTCCTTCTGATAACTGACTTGTCATTCTTTTTTGCAGAATTCTCCTCCTCCACTGAATCTTTCTTCAGAAAACTGTTCCTTTGGAATTCATCCTGGCCTGCTGTCTTCTCATTCTAACGCTCTCCTGCAGTAGACTCGTCCCTCCCCATGGATTCAACCTGTACACTGATAATGCTCAAATCCATTCTCCTGAAAGCTTTCTCTTCTGGGCTCCGACTCATGCATCCGAATGCCTCTAGGATATATCTGCACTCAGTGTGCCAGGACACAAACCTGCCACCGTTATCCAAAGCACCTCCTTCTACGTCATTCCCTATGTCCCCATTAACATCAGGCAGTGACTCAGGTCAGACCTTGAGCCATCCTCAGCTCCTCTGTGTCACCTCATTGTGATACACAAGGTCCTAGACAGTCTGGTACCTTAGTGTCTTTCCAGCAGCACCTTCTTCCAATTCCCATCTTGAATCTTAGCTCCAGCCACATTGAATTACTTGCAGTTCCTCAATACGCATGTTGTCACTCACTTTCAATGTCTTTGGTCAAGTTGCTTCTTTTGGGTAGAATTCTTTTTTTTTTTTGCAGATTTTGGCCGGGGCTGGGTTTGAACCTTCCACCTCCTATATATAGGGCTGGCACCCTATTCCTTTGAGCCACAGGCACCACCCCATGCAGAATTCTTTAATCACTTCTTCATCAGAATAATCCCACAAACCCTCAAGACTTAGCCTAGTGTTGCCTTCTCTGGGAAGCTGACCCTCATATCTGGGTTCAGTGACCCTTCTGGTGCATTGATAGCCACTTAGGCATACCTCTGTCCAACGTGGGTGACATAAAGCTGTAACCTCTAAGTTTTGTCCCCTACTTGTCTTCCCCCTGGAGACCGTGAGGCATTAAGGGGAGGCATCCACAGGGCCTGGAACAGTCCGGCATGTTATACAACATGTTTTTGAAGGAAGAAGAAAGGGAGCTAACTGGCTACATCAATCAGCAATTACGGAAGTAGAATCAGTGATAACAGCGAGAAGTTAGAATAAGATTTGGGAGCAAAGATTGTCACTCAACTTTCTGACAAAGCAGAAAAGGGGCTTGAGTCACAGTTGACTCCGTATCCATACAGTGTTCCCACAGTTGAGTGGCTGCAAAGACACATACAGTTTGGGGGTTTTTCCTGCCTCATTGAACCTTTGCGTTTTATTTTTTCTAAATTTTTTATTTTTAATTACTACAAGTATATAACAATTGTCTACATTCACAGAGTACATGCAATGCTTTGATACAATGTGAATTAATCAAATCAGGGTCTCTATCACACCTCTGCCATTTAGCATTTCTTTGTGTTAAGAACAGTCCAATCTACTCCTGTAATTACATTAAGACACACCTTAACTTATTGTTGCTTATAGTCACCTTGTTGTGCCATCAGGTATTATTTATTCTATTAACCTATATTTTTGCTCCCATTAACCATACCTACGTTTCCTCACCTCCCCACCACCCTTCCCAGCCTCTAGTAACCATCCATTCTCCTTCTCCACGACATCAATAGTTTCTAATATCCAGCTCCCACATGCAAGTGAGAATAGAGGAGATTCATCCTTCTGTGCATGGTTAATTTTAACCTAACATGTTTTCCAGTTCCATCCATATTGTCCCAAATGGCAGGATTTTCATCTTTTTTTGCGGTGATCTCATAGTTCATTGTGTATACGTACTACAGTTTCTTTACCCATTCATCTGTTGGTGGACACTCACATCGATTCCAAATCTTAGCTATTGTGAATAATGCTATAATAAACATAGAGTGGAGGTATCTTTTTTTTTTTGAGAGAGAGAGTCTCACTATGTCACCCTGGGTAGAGTGCCATGGCATCACAGCTCACAGCGACCTCAAACCCTTGGGCTCAAGTGATTCTCTTGCCTCAGTCTCCAAGTAGCTGGGACTACAGGCGCTCACCACAACACCCGGCTAGCTTTTTGTTGCAGTTGTCATTGTTGTTTAGTTGGCCCGGGCTGGGTTTAAACCTGGCAGCCCAGTGTATGTGGCCAGCAGCCTAACCACTGAGCTACGGGTGCTAAGCCAAGAGTGCAGGTATCTTTACGATGTACTGAATTTCTTCTTTTGGATATTTACCCAGCAGTGGGATTGCGGGGTCGTATGGCAGTCCTAGTTTTAGTTTTTTGAGTAACCTCCATACTGTTCTCTGTAGTGCTTACACTAATTTACATTCCAACCAACAATACACGAGGTTCCCGTTTCTCTAAGTCCTTTCCAGCGTTCACTATTGCCTGTCTTTTTGATAAAAGCCATTTTAACTGGGGTGAGATGATATCTCATTGCAGTTTTGATTTGCATTTCTTTGACAACTAATGATTTTGAGATTTTTTCCTGTACCCTTCGGTCAGTTGTGTGTCTTCCTTTGAGAAATGTTTATTCAGATCCTTTGCATGTTTTTAAATTGGGTTATTTGACTTTTTCCTATTGAGTTGCTCGAGCTCCTTATACAGTCTAGTTATCAATCCCTTGTCAGACAAGGAGTTTGCAAATATTTTCTCCCATTTCGTGGGCTGTTCCTTCACTTTGTTGATTGTTTCCTTTGCTAAGACACATACAGTTTAACAGCCCAGCTATCACGTCCCTTTCTCCAGCCGTGTTTGAAGGCAGATACACTAAGCAAATCGTGAATCCAGAAGTGCTCTGGATACTGAGCACGCAGACACAGCCTTAATAGAGCCTCTTCTCCTCCATCTGATACCTGAAACACTGCAGAGGAGATGCCATGTTTAAATACTGGAACATTTAGCCGGGCGTTGTGGTGGGCGCCTGTAGTCCCAGCTACTTGGGAGGCTGAGGCAAGAGAATCGCCTAAGTCCAGGAGTTGGAGGTTGCTGTGACCTATGGCACTACGGCACTCTACGGAGGGCGATAAAGTGAGACTCTGTCTCTAAAAATAAATAAATAAACAAATACTGGAACATTACCATGCGGAAAAGAATTTGGGCTTTTGGGTCTGATACTTTCTCTGCCACCCCACTCCCTGCCCAGGAAAGGTAGAAGTAGGACCAGAGAATGGAATTTACGAAGAGGTACAATTCAACCTGAGGTCATAAAAAGTTCTCCAGGGGCACAGCTGTCCACAGATGGCACGTGCTGCTTTGTCAGGGAGCGAGTTGCTCAAAAGCCGAGGGAGCAGTTCCTGGGGCCACTGCGGGGGGCTTACACATACCATGGCCGGAGGAAATAGTGCCCTAGTTGCCCTAGTTGATCTTTATTATCTCTACTACCTTAAAATTCTATTTCCTACCAAAGTAACTGTTTCTATGTTTTTAATTTAGAGAGCAAGCTAGAAGTGAACTCAAGCAGTCAAGTTCGAGAAGCATCCATCAGCTCCAACATTGACATAGAATGTAGCATCCTGTCCCGGTCCGTGGGAAACCTTCGGTTAGCCATTATTTGGTATTTTTCCCCCATTTCCATGAGTGCTTCCCGGCTGAAGATCCTGGAAATGGACCAAACCAACGTTGTAAAGTATGGGGATGAATTTCACACTCCACGGAGGAAACAAAAATTTCACACGGAGAAAGTTTCCCAGGACTTGTTTCAGCTGCACGTTCTGAACGTGGAGGACAGCGACCAGGGCACATATCACTGTGCGGTGGAGGAGTGGCTGCTGTCCACAAACGGCACTTGGCTCAAGCTGGGCGGAAAGACGTCAGGACTGACAGAACTGAAACTCACGCCCACAGGTAAAGCTCGGAGAGCATTCTCGCACCGGTTTCTGTAGGATTGCCATTTTCTCTTGGGCAGAAGGTCTGTACAGTGATTGTGTAGAAGTAAAAGTATGACCTAGTGTCATCGGAACACAGTCCACATACAAAGGACTGCGGGACCTGGTCGCCCACCGAAGAAGGGAGGTCACTTCAGGCGAATAGATCTGAGAGTTTTTAAAATTTTCAGATAAATATGAGGGTAGAAATGATTAGATTACATTGTTTGCATTTCTAAGGTAAAGTTCAAGTTGTAGTTGGGTCCTTCACCAGGGGGTGTGCTGTGTACCCTTATAGTGTGCCCATTAGGTGAGAGTTTACCAGTCTGCCACCCTTCTCTCCCCTCCCCAGTCCCTCCTCTTCTCTTCCTTCCCCTCCCTTTCCCCTCCCCTCCCCTACCCTTCTTTTCCCCCTTCTCCTCTCCCCTCTTCTTTCCCTTCTCTCCCCTCCCCTCCCATTTCCCTTCTCTCCCCTCCCCTCCCCTTCTCCTCCTCTCCCCTCCCCTTTCCCTTCTCCCTCCCCTTCACCCTCTCCTCCCCTTCTCCCTCCCCTCCCCTTCTCCTCCTTTCCCCTCCCCTTCTCCTTCCCCTCCCCTTCTCTTCCTCTCCCCTCCTCTTTCCCTTCTCTCCTCTCCCCTTCCCTTTCCCTCCTCTCCCTTCCCCTTCGATCTGAGCTTTTGAGGAGCTCAGATAGGAACAAGATCCCTTTGACCCGTTTGTTTATCAGCCACTGTCTTGGGTAGCTTCGGTATCGAATCTGCAGATCTCTGTAATAACAAGCTGTGTCATTCCAGTGGGGCGCTACTGTAATTTGGCAGAGAAAGAGTAATAGGAAGCATATTTCTCCCACTGCGAAGGGAAACTGTACAACTCTATGGGGATGTGTGGAGAAATTGCTTCTCAACATTTAGCTGCCTAAACATAAGGCAAATAAGAGTAGTTAACTGTTGGAATGGCTGACTGAGGGAATCTCCTCTTCCTCAGGAGATCTTTAAAAATGTAATGGAAGTTCCATGCGTTTGCCCTGGTCTGAGAGTGCTGCTGGCTGGATGTGGGCAGGGCTGCTTAGGCCTCTCAGCCTTCCTTAGGTCACCTGCAGTGTTGATTACAATTGACTGAACGTCACAGCTGAGGTTCGGGATCTCGCCAACTGTACAACACAGATGAGTTGATCTAATTTGGAGCTTAAAATACTGTTTTTAAGGTACCGTCAAAAAATAAGAGTATAATTGACCGTGACTGTGTATGGGGCAATGAAACTACTAGATAAAGAAGGCACAGCTGTGGTCCTGAAGGAGCTCCATCTGTTGGGGCAGCAGGGGCAAAACTGGGGCTCAGTGTGGGGCCTCTTCCTGCCACTCTGTCCCCCCTTCTCCGTGTTCTTCAGGCCCCTCTTCCTTGCCTGGATAAGCGTATGTGTTCCTCAGGGACGGGACCTGGGCCCACTGTTTCTTATTGTCTGCTTTCCTCAGAACTTCTTAACACTGTCCTGGTTTTGACTACCACCTTCAAGATGGCAACTCTAAGTGTATATGCTTAGTCCACTGTCCCGAGCTCTGAGCCTTCACATCCAAGTGCGTTTCCACTTGGATGCTCCCAGAGGCCCCATGCTCAGTGCGCCCCACGTGGCAGGTGTCATCTCTACCATCTCCACGACTCACTCCCACTTCTGCATTCCCCATCTGTGCGACTGGCATTCCTGTCTCCCACCTATGCCAGCCAATATCTTCACAGTATGTGCATGCCTTTTTTAAGGAGACAGACACTGTTTAGCTCAAGCCAGAGCTTCTCATGCAGAAATGTGGGCTCAGTGTTACAAGATCTTTTAGTATTGGTGGGGCGCAGTGGCTCACGCCTGTAATTCTAGCAGTCTGGAAGGCCAAGGTGGGTGGCTTGCTTGACTTCAGCAGTTTGAGACCAGCCTGAGCAAGACTGACATTCTTCCCCCACCCCCATCTCTATTAAAAAAAAAAATACCCTGCCATATACGGAGGGTGTTGGGTTTGAGCCCGGCCCCGGCCAAACTGCAACAAAAAAATAGCTGGGTGCTGTGGTGGGCGCCTGTAGTCCCAGTTACTCAGGAGGCTGAGGCAAGAGCCTAAGCCCAAGAGCTGGAAGTTGCTATGAGCTGTGATGCCACGGCACTCTACTGAGGACAACAAAATGAGACTCTGTCTCTAAACAAAACAAAACAAAACATAAAAAAGAAATAAAATAAAACCCAGCTGGGTGTTGTGGCAGGCTGAGGCTAGAGGATTGCTCAAGCCCAAGAGTTTGAAGTTGCTGTGAGCTACGATGATACCACAGCACAATACCCAGAGTGACAGAGTGAGATTCTGTCTCAGAAAATAACAAAAAACTTTTAGTATTACATTTTAAGAGATGCCTAAAATCTTTTTTGGTGGACATCTTCCAATGTGAGAGCATTTGCCACTAATTCAGATCTTTTCAAAATACTGAAGGAAAACACTAGAGGGTGTTGTACCAGGTGCCTGTAGTTCCCCCCTCCCCCCTCCCCCCCAAAATTGAAGGAATTGAACAAAACACATTTGTGAGCCAGGTGTGAGTGTGACCATCAGTCCAGGTATACACCTTCATTTAGGGGATGAGTTAAGAAAGAGAACCCCCAGTAAGATACTGAGTAGGACCATTCGGAATTATAGGAGGGATATTTTATCTGAGGTGGAAGGAGGAGAGAATTTTAAGGAAAAAAAGTGCACTTCAGTCACAAAAACTACAAAGAGGACAGAAAAAGCCTGGAGGGTCCCTTGAGCTGGGGAATTGAGCCCTGGCCAAGTGTAGTGATAGGATTAGAAGCCAGATTGCAAGGAAGTAGGAAGTAATTGGAGGTGAGGAGACAGTGACAGCATCACGTAAGTTAGTATTTCACATACTTCCCCATGAAGGAAAGGGGAGAGGAAAGATGGTAACTAAATAAAGGACCAAGATCAGATAAAATAGTTCTTTTAAAGGTAGATTAATAAGTGAATTTGTCATGGAGTCAAAAAATGTAATGCACATTACAGTTTATTTATTTTGTTTATAACTACTTTGGCCATCATTTTGAGTTTTTACCTGCTGGTTAGTTGGGGCGTAGGGGGAGTAAATGTCAAAATCTAATTAAAGCTTAGTCTAATCCAATCATTTGAATAGTTCCCTTGGGTAGCATTCTAACATTGCGTCTAAGCATTCAGTCTCTCAGGCAGCCTGCCTCTCTCTGCATCTATGCCATGGATACCAAGGTAATATCCGGGTGTATGGGAGGAGGGCAATGAGCTAAGAAGGAGGGGTAGTGGTAGAATACACAGTTTGAGGGGTGCTAAAAGTTCTGAAGAGCCCCTCTGGAAAGTAGAAGAGGGTCTGGCTGAGAAGTGAGAGCAGCAGGGAGGGGGCCCCACTGAAGCTGGGTGGTTTCCATGGACAGGGTCCAGCAGGTAAGAGATAGTGGTAAAGAAGGCAAATGGCTGGTTTGATTCATAGCAGAGAATGTTCTGGCAAATGTGAAAGAAAAGGGGGGCTCAAGAACAGGTATTAAAAATGGATGATTTGATGACTAAAGATTATAAGATGGAGCTAGGCATGGTGGCTCACACCTGTAATTCTAGTACCCTGGGAGGCTGAGACAGGTGGATTGCTTGAGGTAGGAGTTCAAGAGCAGCCCAAGCAAAAGGGAGACTCTGTAAAACTAGCCTGGCATTGTGGCGGTTGCGTGTAGTTGGGAGGCTGAGGCAAAAAGATCACTTGAGCCCAGGAGTTTGAAGTTGAGGTGAGCAATGATGTCAGGGCACTCTACCCAGGGTGACAGATCTATCTGAGAATCTGTCTCCAAAAAATAAAAAAGAAGAATAGAAAGAAAGAAAAAACAGAATATCAAATAGATATCTCCCCAGTGATGACCAGATTTTTCAGAGTAAGTGTCCCATCTAGAAGTCTGCGTGTTTCTCTGATTTACTGCCATTTTATTTTCTAGGAAGTAAGGTACATGTGTCAAAAGTGTACTGGACAGGAAATGTCACTGAGCACAGAGAGGTCAGCATCCCCTGCAGCCTGGAGGGTCCAGGCAGCCCCGCCTCCCTGTACTCCGTGATGTGGTACTGGAACGGAGGAGAGTCTGGACGTGAGCTGCTGGTGCACCTGCAGCACGATGGTCTGCTGGAATATGGCGCCGAGGGGCGCAGGAGGCGCCTGCACTGTCACCGGGCATCCGCTACAGACTTTGTCCTGCAGCTGCACCAGGTGAGGATGGAGGATGCCGGACTGTACTGGTGCAGGGTGGCAGAGTGGCAGCTCCATGGACACCCAGGCAAGTGGGTCAACCAAGCGTCAGATGAGTCGCAGCAGATGGCGCTCACCGTGCTGCCTTCAGGTGCGTGGGGTTGCCGTGGGCTCAGGGGTGGGTGAATATGTGGTTGTCCTCCCAGCTGTGCTTCACTCCTTCAGGCTGAAGGCGCTTTTCATATTCCCTGAAGAAGATGATTTTGCCATCTCCCCCAGTAGTCATTCATTTGAACAAATAAGGTCTACATAAAATTTTGTCATAAACATTTAAATATCAGAGGCATCTGACCTGTTACCCCTACCCCAAAACCATCAACACTATGTCCCCTTAAATAGTCAAATAATGTGTGAAGCAGATGTCCTTAGCTTTGGGCCGGCTCTCTAATCTTGGAATGTTCATCTGCAGTGGGGGTGGGAATGAGAGATAGGGAGCCATGATGTTACACTGTGTTTTCTTTTGTTGTTTTTGTTTTTGTGACTTTACATTTTGAACCCAAATCAGCTACATCTAAATGCTCCTTCAGTCAAAAAAAAGGAAAACAAACAAAACAAAATTTCTCAGTGAATAAGTGCCAACCTCCTTGTGTCTCTATGTTCTTGACCTTTGATGACAGGGTCATTCCATACGCCTCTTGTAATTGTTTCTTGGAAGGTGTCAAGGTAGAAAGTGTGCTCTGTAGAACTTGTAGGCTCCAGCAGGGAGGGCAGCTGCTCAAAGACCACTGGACAAAGGGCGACATTTCTGAATGAGAGGAGGTCATTCTACTCAGCTGAGTACTCATTAAGTGAAAGCAAAAAATTCTCCACTTACACCAGTAAATCTTTCCGGGCGATTGATGAGCTAGCAATTGTTGTAGCCAGCTCATTCTGTCAGCCACTTCTTCCTGGCGGGGTTCAAGGAGAAGATGTGAGGTGAACAATAAGCTGAACTTACTGTGCGGAAGGGCCAAGGGAGAAGTAGGGGTGTGGTCTTGGCGGCCCCACTCCAGGAGGGGTAAATGAAAACGATCAATAAAGGTAACACCGTTTGGCTTTGATGACACCCTTAGCAGGGGAAGAGCGCTGCCAAGAACACAAGGGAATATCTAAGACGGAGGATAGCTGCGTCCCAGCCCCCACAAGACTCCGAGAATGGAAGCCAAAGTGACATCATTTGTTCCTTAAGGGGGTCCTCTGTCATCTTGCCCTGTCCGTTATTCACCAAAATTTTTGTCCAGGCAGAATATTTTTTTTCTATCAGCCTTTCTTCCATTCTAACAATTATAAGAAGTCCCATACCCGTGAGTACATCTTGTATGTCTTTTCCCACTGAAATCCACACACTGTACAATCATCAGTTTTTTCAGTAGAATAAATAGACAAGAACAGCAAAAAGTATACATTTGTGACTAAAAAGCACACCCCCTCTGAGGCAGATGAGATCCTTTATAGCATATATATATTTTTAAGCTTTGTGGAATTCTAGCAAAACAGGTGTAAGGTTTTTAAAAGATGAACTTGGAAAGAAAACAGTAAAAATTGAGCGCCTTTGTGTTCTCAGAAATCTTGTGCCATGATGAGCTGAGGGTTTCCCGTGTGACTTTAGTCACACCTGGCAAGTGGTGTCTGGGTTCTCCCACCTGGCTGGTCCTCTCTGGCATCTGGGAAGGCAGTGTGGGGTGATGAAGAATACCAGGGGGGTGCAATCAAACAGGCCTAGGTGCAACTCACACTCTACCACCCACAAGCTATGAAATCATACCCCAGTTACTGCTGTGAGCCTCAGCTTTCTCATAAAATGAAGATCATGCTATAAATGTATATAAAGTCGCTCGTACAGTCCCTGGCACACTGTAAGTGCTCAACAAATGTTAACCCCTTTCTCTCTATGCCTCCAACTGTGCCACCCATATACACACACACAGGTACAAGATTAATTTGTTCAATAAATAACTATGTGAGGTTCTACGATACAAAAATGCATACGACAGGTCTGTTTCCACAGAGCTTAGAGTCCCGTGGGGGAAATCAAGACCAACACGGCAGGAGGATCAAAGAAGTATTTTCAGGATGTTTGGGGAGCAAACAAAGAGCAAGCTGGAATGAAGGGCTGGGTGGGGAGAAGATCTGGGAAGGTTCCCCAGAGTACGGGGCCCATGAAAAGGAAGAAACTGATTTTAGAACAGGAAAGGGAATGGAAGATGATCATAAGCTGTGATACTTTGTGTTACATTCAGGAAACTTCCAGAAGTCAAGACCATAGAAACTGTGTCCCATGTGGTCCAATGGTGTGAGATAAGACCAGTGAGGTGGGGGAGGGCACGGGTAGATCTCAAATGTGTCTAAAGTATGAAGCTAAGGAGGGTGAACTTTATCATGATGGTTACACGATGTCATTGAAAAAGTTCACACAAAGGAGTGACATCATCAGATTTGGATGTGAGGGAGTCCCCACTGGGAGCAGTACTTGCATGAAGGATGAATCAGAGGAGAGGAAGACAGACCAGGGAGAACTGTTTGAAATTGCAAGCACCCCAGTGAGGCGAGAGGAAGGCCTGAGTCAAGGCAGTGACAGAGAGGACTAAGAAAGGCACAGGGCATTCAGTCTGAGGATGTGTCATCTCCAGGATTTAGAAACTATTCCATATATCGATACATGTAGAGGGAAATGAGAGAGTAAGAAGAACTGAAGACTAATATTTACATTCAGACTTAGATGGAGAGTTGGGTCTTGCCAAGCAAAGAAAAATATGAGAGAGGTTGTAGGGGAGGGTTAGTACAGTTTTGAATAAGTTGGGCTGGAATTAAGCTGTGTGTTATCAAGGAAGCCCTGTCCAATAGACATCAGGACTTCCAACTGGGATCTGCACCAGAGGTATAGATTAGAAGTTATCAAGTCATAGCCAATAATGACATGCAAAGATGTAGCCCTGGGCTGTACAGCCATATATGGGGGCTGGAGGAGCAGAGCCTGTGCTAGAGACTGAAGGGAGCGGCCGAGAGGGGAAGAGGGGTTGCGTTTGAGGGTCCCTCAAAACCAAAGGCAGACTAAGGCGCCAGCCACATACACCTAAGGTGGTGGGTTCGAATCCCTAGCCCGGACCCGCCAAACAACAATGACGGGCTGCAACCAAAAAATAGCC